ACCATAAATGCGACATTGTAGAGAGAGTTCTTCCATAATAACACTGCCGGCCAGTGGGGTTAGATTGAATACACACACACACACACACACACAACCGGAACTTTCAAGACGTAAACCAAATAATCCTCTAAGGTGGTATTAAGTAGTCAGAACCATGTTGGCTGAATCCAGAAATATTCCGGATATCCCTGGGGAAGTGGTCAGATTCTTCTTGAACCAACACCCTCATGCGACACATCAAACTATATCAGAATTCAAAAATAAGATCAAGTACTCAGGATCACGTTGGCCAGATCCAGATATATTTCGGGTAAATCGGAGGAACTGGTCAAATTCTTCTTGAACCAACACCCACATGCAACACACCAAATTACATGAGAATTCAAAAATATTATCATTGGTCGCCATATTAAGTACTGAAGACCACGTTGGCCAGATCCGAACATGTTCCGGGTACCCCGGAAAAGTGGCCACATTTTTCATGAACCTACTCACCCTCATGCAACACATACATAAGATCATTGGCGGCCATTTTAAGTACTCAGTACCACGTTGGCCAGATCTGAACTTGTTCCGGATACCGCCGGAGAAGTGAAACTTGAAACTTCATCTTCATGTGACACATCAAACTACAAGAGAATTCAAAAATAAGAACATTGGTGACCATATTAAGTACTGGCCATACATATTCCGGGTGCTCTCAGAGAGTTTCATAAATTTTCCGAAATTTACCTGAGGCCAATCTCTGTTAGTTCTCGGAACTTCCTGAAATTCTCTTCAGAAATACTTTGAGGTTCTCCTAAGAACTACTCTGAAGGTCTCCTCAGACTTACTCTGAAACTCTACAGAAATACTCTGAAGTTCTCATCAGAACAAAGTTCTCGTCAGAACTACTCTCAACTTCTTTTAAAAACTACTCTAGATCTTCGATGAAGTTTTCAACTTGAAGATCTTCAAATTTTTCCAGTAGTCGGGACTTCCCTAAAGATATTGTTACTCCACAGACGTTCTTTTAACTTCTCAAAAAAAAAATAGAGCTTTGGACTTCCCTAAAACTCACGGAACTTTCCTTAAGCTCCCGCAGTTTTCCTGCTATTCATAACTCTTCCCCGAAGCTATCGATATTTCCCCACGATTCAAGGTACCTTTTCGACGTGCTTTCACATTTTTTAAAGTTAATGCAAATTCAGAAACGATCAGTGGACTTCGGAGGATTTCAAAGCCCCTTGGATATTTTTACAAGAATTCAGGTAGAAGAAGACCCTCTACTGATCTGAATGAGAGGTTATTCAAATAACAAATAACTCAAAACTCTAATCAAAATAATCCCGTTTACGTGGCTTGTTTACGTACAGCATGTAGCGGAAGAGGAAAAATAAATAGATTTTGCGCGCATGCATTGTGGGTACACTCAAAATAATCCACACGTCAATGCTACGTGAAAAATCACGTAGATTCAAAAAAAAATGATTTTTTATTCCAGTTTATCTGACAAAGGTAACTATCATCGGACTTTGGTTGTATGTATATGAAATGAAGCGCCAGTTACTTTTACTGCAGTTGCCTCATCTGTCTTACGTGAAAATCACGTACTTTTTTAAATTCATATTGACAGCTGCATTCCGCGTTCATTCTGTGTATGAAGAATAAGCAAAATGGCGCCTGTTGAAAACAAACTGCAAGAGCTGCTTGTTCATTTAAACATCACGCAACATTTGTTAGAAATATTTGATGGTAAGAACGGTTTAATGTGAGATTGTATCTTATATTGATGTCTTTTTTTATTTGAATAGAATGTGGAGTCGATTTTGTCGATTTGCTCAGGATTACGACTGATCAACTTCGCAAGTCTTTGGAACCAACAAAAATTTTCTGGCATATGAAGTTACGATATATTTATCTGTAGTATATGTGCTAAAAAATGAGTTATTTGATAGTTTTCCAGTATCAGTACAAAAAATCGATGATCAGTCTAAAATGTATTTTCGAGTTAAAAATAGTTCCAATGTTAATCCTGTAGAAGCTAAGTATGTATAGTTTGTAATAAAAGATACGGGAGTAGTCACGTATCTATTATGTGAAATTCCAGTGGGATGAGAGGTCATTAGTTCATTCTGTGCTACATATGGTCCACGTGAGTGCTACGTGAAAAGTGCGATGGGAAAAAGCCACGCATGTTTTCACGTAGCATTGACGTGTGGATTATTTTGAGTGTAGCAATGCGGCAAAGCGGCAGCGGTTAGTGCGATTTTACTACACTGTGCGTTTGCCGCTATGCCGCTATTCCAATGTCATTGTGTTCACTGCCCATAATCGCAAGTCAGTCCCATCTGTAAAAAACTGGAAATGAGAAAACGGCGTTCAAAGATTTTACAAGTTTTCTGATTTGACACTTATTTTGGAGGGATAAATTTAAAAATAATCGTACAATGTGATAGAATGCATCTATATTTACCATAAAATATTGAAAAAAATATCGTGAAATTTTTATTTTATGGCCAAAATCTGAATGGGACTGACTTACGATTACATTTAACGTCAATGAGAAAAATATCCGCAAGTCAGTAACAATTCCATGACGATGCTGCATTAGTTTAGCACAGTATTGAACAGTAGAAAGATACCATGGTTCCATAGAACGTTATTGAATGTTTCTGGATTGGTTCCGCTGGTTCCAGAGCATATTGCGATGAGTATGGGTCTTAATCAGACCAGAGCTTTTGATAAACGTGCCAAACCCCCACCATGAGATAAATCAATTCACATGAGAATTCAAAAATAAGATCAATAAGAGTCATGATGAGTGACCAGCACCCGAACATGTTCCGGATATCCCCGGGGAAGTGGTAAATCCTATTTAAATCAAAATACTTCAAGCGATACATCAAATCACTTGAGAATTCAAAGCCATATCCATTGGCGGCCAAACTGACTATCGTAAGAACTATATTGACCACATCCGGACATGTTCCAGATACCCTAGGGGAAGTGGACAAAATCTATCTTGAGACAAATCTCATGATGCGTTGTGTTGTCTAACATTTCTAACATATTGTTTTCTAATGGGACTGACTTGTGGTTACTTTTCGCTGTAGGACAATTTGACTTGGTATTGATTTTCATTTTCCTGGAACAAACCACCTTTTTTTCAATAGCATATCTCAGAAAAATATAGAAAGATAAACTAAATAATGATGCTAACTCAAAATTGATAAAAATGCAGATGGGACTGACTTGCGATTACCGGCAGTTCAGCCCTTAACCGTGGCTAGGGAACTGGCTGTTTCAAATGGGAAGTTGGCGTTGTGTTGAACTTGTGTGCAATGAGGAGATGAAAGTAAAAATGCTGGTGAAGTCGCAGAATGATACATGGGGGAGAGGTAGCTCATCGATTCTTCCGGTTCGCCTCCTAGCATCGTGCTATAAGCAGTGATGCAAAATATCATGACACTCACGTGACACTCGTCTTCGCATCAACCGACTATCGCTTACAGATCGTTTTGTCACGCAGTGAGAATTAGAGCCATGGCAAACAACAATCACCAGTAATGGTCGCTGCTCACAAGCAAATCGTTACACTCGCTGCTGATAATGAAAAGCACAACGAAAACAGTGAAGACTTCTGCAGTACGATCATGAAAAAAAGCGAAACGACAGAAGAAAATGAAAACAATGCCTTCGCATTCTAAGTTCATCTCGGCAGGCGCGACTGTGAGTTACAAACAAAGCAGGCAACATTAAACGGAAGCTGTTGGGCTCACTCACCAACACACTCACATAAGAAAGCAAAGCAGGAACCTTCTTCAAAACGAGCACAGATGAGTGTCGTGATTGTCAGGAATGACCAGTTCGGTGATGGATCACAACAGAAGACGACATTCACCAGTTGCTTCTTACTTCTTTCGTCAACTTGATGGATGGTCATGGAGCGAGCTTCGACGAGCACATTAATAGGAATGTACAAAGCGTTACTACCATCAGCTGTTTGATGATGGTGATTGTGATAGGTCGCAACTCTGGCTATAAGGTACCAGGCGATAACCAGGGTAGTTGATCGATAGCTCGATGACGTCATTTCGTTGACGTATGGGAAATTCTCATAGCAGGCGTTGACGATGGGACGTTGTCGAGTTGTTGAATAGCAACTATCGTGGTAACTCACCGATTACCTGTCGATCTGCCAAATTTGGAAAGACGACTGCATTGAATTGTCTCATATAATAATATTCCGCCCACTATGTCACAAGAAATTGCGAGTAGCTGAGTGGAATGGAGATAAGTTAAGCATTGGGTACAGGACCAAGTCTCCCCTGGGTGGTGCGGTGCCAAAAGATGAGCGCAATAGAATCATCAAGTTGCCATAAGGCACGGAATGAGACTATTGCATGGCTGGGTAGTCAAAGTCTTCCATTCGTTAGTCATTTCAGGTGGATTAGAACAGGTTTAGGTTTAGGGTGGGCGTTGGCCAGATTTGGATTTTTCAGATGTCATAGGACCCTGTCATTGAACGTCGCGTGAAAGTGGAACTTAATGAAGGCCTAAGTACTTTTTCGTAGTTTTTAGTTTTCGGATTTGAAAGATCGTCGGTTACAGTGGCCTGAGCAGAAAAACGCTGTCCCAGGTCCTCACATATCAAAGAGATTTATGGTAAAATCGCTTGTGTATCGTGTATTTTGCGAAACTCGTTATTGTCGTTGGTTCCGGGTTTGAATGGATACACAAATTTGAGCAACGGTATTATGTGATATGAGGGGCTCGGTGGCCTTAGAGCAACCGTTTTTGCTTACTGAGCAGAACATCATGAGTCTAATCTCAGGCCCATCCACATTCAAGATTCGTCAATCGTTTTATTTGTTAATATGACTACATGGTAATAACAGCAACTCGGTGATTAAAAAGGTGCTCGTCTGCCTAGTGGCAAACTTTTTGCTTACTGAGCAGAAGACCATGGGTTTAGCCCCAAGCTTTTTCGCGTTATATGATCGTTAGGACATCAATTCAGCTTATCGTTTACCAAAACGAACCCTGCTGCAAACCCAACCCTCTTATCCAACATCCCAGTGATTCCTCGTGGAAATGCAGAGGTGTTCTCGGCTTCCATCAAAGCGAGTGTCATGTCAACACAATCCTTCCCATTCCTTTCTTGACCTGTGTTCGGGCGCGGCCGGCGCTGGTATTGCCTAATTTAAGATCACCAGTTTTTACACATTGAGGATGATTGCTAGTCCCAAGCATCGTCTATTGGTTCTCTGTGTAATTACAGCTGATCTGGCAGTAACAGAGTAGCAACCGTGGGCGGTCAATCAAGCTCAAGCTCAAGCTCAAGCTCAAGTTGGTGAAGTCGCAGAAAGATACAAAAATTATAACAAATGATGTTCCTGTTACTTTCAGATTTGAAACGCTTGGAAACGCGGTTATGTCATGCCATTCGGAGAATGATCGAATAGCTACGCTGTATTACTACATTGAAGAAAGATGATCGAAACGAGATGGTGAAAATCTCATTTTGGAAATTAGATTAGTAATTTTAAATTAGTGAAGTGAATTCGACTGTCCACTTTTGATTGCATAGTAGAATAAGTGTGAAGTCGATTTTATTTCGTCAGCTGTTGTTGGTCCATGTTAGGTTTAATTGTAGTTCTGCGCTCACGATTGTTCGAGCTGCTTACCGGCCTAGATCCGAGTGCACCAGTGTTGCCAAGAAACGTAGATTTCATATAGTAGAGGAAACTGAATTTTGAGAATGGTGCTCGCAGTCCGTTCGTATCGAGCAAGGGAAATGATTTTACAAAGTACCGGTGAAATGGTCACCCTGGATATTCAAAATGACCGAATTTTAGCACAAATGTGAATGATTGCCCATAACAAACAATTATGCAAAGTTTCATGCAAATCGGAGAAGGTCGAGTTTGATCGATTCGTCATTTGGCGTGGAACTTCTCTATGGCCTTTTTGTTCCACATTTGATTTTGAAAAAAAATCATTAGCAATGTTTAGAGGGGGTTCATTTTTTAATTTAATTGATGATACATGAAGACAATGTTATAAACTTACAATTCGGTGCACAAACTCCCATAAATGATTCACGGAATCGCGTGTATCAACGCACTATCGTGAGGGTAAACTTCTAGCCCCTAGTTCTCCTACCCATCAAGTTCATGTCAAACAAATAAATGATTGAAGGCGGAGATGGAGAAAGAAACACGGCCAACGCATGAAGAATGTAGGTACATACCTACTCGATTTAGAAATGACACTTACGCTTAAATTGTATGCGAGGTGTTTAATTAATGCAAAGACAACAAATCAATCTTTGCTATCCAATTCGTTCGAAGCATTTACCTTTGAGCGGCAGATGACGCGATTGTACCTGTCTCATAGCGTTCATATGAGAAAATTGAAAAGTTGCCAGTCTTGATTTGTTGTCTTCGATTAATATCTCATACCATCACCGAAAATAATTTTCATGTAGCTTCCATTGAAAACGCACATTTTCACGATTTTCATCCATAATCAAAATTAATGGAATTCATCCGAATTTCACATAAAATTTATGCGATCACATTAATTTTATATGATTTTTCGTATGAATTCCATCGGCCTCATAATATTCATGTGATTTTGTGGTGGGATTTTTAGCTATGTGATCACATGAAAGCTATGTGAAATTCACATGGTTTTCATCCATTAGATATGTGATAAATTTTTTGAGTGTAGGTTCAGAAATGTACCCGCAAGAAAAGTTAAAAGGCAATAGGGTCGGGTGGGGCAAGAGTGCCTCCCCCAATAATTTTGAAAATAAACATGTTTTCAATGCTCATTCACCAATGAAACTATGAATGGTGTTCCTATGCAGCATTATAGAAAGGTTTGTTCAAAATGAAGTAGGTATTACAAAAATTGCAAAAAATCATTTTGTGCCGATGTGTCAAAAATCGAAATTACTTATAATAATTAGACATCATAAAATAAGTATTTTGGAATTTCCAAATATTGTTTTCTACAATTCCAGCATTGAGGCATCACTAATAATGAATAATTGAAACACCAATAACAAAGAATATATAAATAATCTCTATAATTGGTCAAAAATTATTTTATTAAAAATGAACCTCATACGGGGAAAGAGTGCCACCTCTATAATATTTATGAAAATTATACAAAAATGTAAAAGAAATCGCTTCATTGCCCATTTAAGTCTTTGGTTAGCTAGTTTTCACCAAATTTGACAAAACCAGCTACATAAAATATCAACAACAATAGATTTCATTTGATTCCATCGGGAAACATAGTTCATTGGTTATGTATTGAGTAATATTGTAAAATTTAATAGTTAAATTGAGTCAACAATAACAGCTCTTTCTAGCATGATTAATAATCAAAAGACTAAAACAAGCATTAATCGATTTGACTCAATTTAAGACGCATGGCATGGCCCTTTTGCCCCATAGGGGTTGACACTCTTGCCCTATTGTAGATTCAAAAAAAGATTTGAGATGACATTTTGAAAAAAAATTCTGAACAACTTTTTACGAGATATAGTTTGCATTAGGTACATTGCTGATGTATGAAGGCAATAATATGAAGTTGCAATATGGTGTAGAAACTCCTATAAATATCCAATATTTAGCGTACAATTGTTAAGGTGGCACTCTTTCCCCACCCGTCCCTACATGTTTTTCTTGTTTTAAATCACATTCCCTTTTAAAGTGAAATGAACTCTTTAATAAGATGAAATTTATATAATGAGTACGCATATATAGAACAAAAGTTATCATATAGAAAAATCAACTGAATCGAAAGCTGCTTCCTCGTCCCTAGTCAACTAGTACGTGTCTGTTCACATGAATCATGCTGCTTGATAGAGGTTTTACAAAAATTCACTGTCCCAACATCTAATCAACACGGCTCATCAGTTTAAACAGCACCAAATACCGAAAAACAAGAAAACTGTAACACTAAGTTACCTATAGGTATTTCCCTTTCCTTACAATACCAAACACCGCATATCTCCGCCCTAGCTCTGTCTCCGCCACAATCATCGCTCGTCCTTCCTTCCGTCCGTCCGTCCGTCCATCCAGATTCACTACCATTACAAATCACAGCTTCTTCCGTTGCAAGAAAAAAAAAAGTTGTTACCGTTCTTCCGGAAACCACCATTTATCCCCCTCCCCCGGAGAAATTCCTCCCTATGGCTAAGGGAAGATCTCAGCTCCGCGGGGAAGTTCGTTTATTGTCAGTCACTGACGGCGGCAACAACCGTCTGCCACCACCATCACCACTACCATACGGGTCAGGATGCAGCGGCCGGCGCCCCCTCTCTAACGAGATTTTTTTATCATTTTGTTTTAGCTTTCAGTCCTTTGGGTTTCACGATTAGGATCCAAACTGTTGTGTGGTGATTGGTTTGCTAGTTCTTCATCTTTGATCAGACTTTTGTATTCTACGTTTTCCGGTGCCCAGTGAATTACATTCGCCGGAGCTTCTGAATACCGGCCTGAACGTACTTGACCACATTGTACAGCGAGCTGTGCAACGTCATCGGGCCATTGTCGTGATCCAGGTCGATGAAAAAATCTAGAACAACGGAAAGGAAGATAGGAATTTAATTCCGGTGATGAGCGATGAAAGAGCATATCCTACCTGTATGATTCCCCCGTATAACCAGATTGTCCGCTTGCTCCCACAGGTCCTGACAGTTGAGCAGATAGTTGAACAGTGTTGCTTGCTTTTGGAATGCCATATGTACCTGTGTTTGCGTGTTGGGGACGAAATTTGACGTTGTAAAAGCTGTACCTAGGAATGGTGTGTCGGAATAACTTACGTGAACCGGCATAAGCAAGCACGGTGAGGGGGAAGAACTGATCGACGAACCCGGAATGGGACCCGCTTGAACGGTTTGACCCGAACAGTAACCGGAACTCTGCGGAGATGGAAAAAAGATTAATGGTAAGCGGTAAACGTCTAGCCTCATGACAGCTTTTAACTGACCTGCGAACCCACCGAGGTCGGCGACAGTGGCGAAGGTGTATTACCGTTGACCATATCGGCCGAAACCGGTTGGTTGGGCTTCTGATTGTACTCTGCGATGATCCGCTGCACGTCCTTGATGTCATGCCGTCGCATTTTGTACAATTTTAGATAGATCAACGATTGACACCGTAAGCTGGAATTGTCGGAGGATAAAAAACAATTATGTAAATGTTAGGTTAATTATGCATTTGCGGTTTTAGCTCCCAAGCATGGTTACAAAACTTAAGTTAGGCAATTCTCTTCAAGGTTTAACATTTTGGTCTGAATCTAAATGTAAGCACGTACCTCAATATCGCCACCTTACTGTGGATGCTACCCTGCACGGTGAGATGCTGCTGCTGGCTACGAAACTTCGACGAAATGTACCTATGCAAATAAGAAACCGTTCTTTAGTAAGAGTCATTTGCATACTTCATCTGGCTTTACTCACTTGATCAAACTGAGCGTATCTTTGTACATGGTAAAGGCGGCCTTCTCGGTGATCGGGTCCCGTTCCATCGTATCGCCCGTGAGCAGAAAGAACAGCACCGCCTCCAGGTAGAGCATGGCCTGCGCCAGGTGGTCACCCTCCCGATCCGCCGCGTGCTTCAACCGCTTCGCCTCCGAGAGGTAACGATTTTGGTCCCGAACCTCCAGTTCGTCCTCGTTGGAACGTTCAAAGTACGATACGTAGATTTTCTTCACCATGATAGGTCCACCAGTAGTAGTTGCGGCACCACCAACGTCCCCGGTACCTAGCGAATCTCCAGCGGATTTTGGGTGAGGTGTGATAGTGGTGGTAGCACAAGTAACAACGGCGGCGGTGGCGTTGGCAGCAGCAGATGGCAGATGATGGGGGGGTTGATCCGCTTCTAACCGATCGTGATTGGTCGGAGGCATTTGGTCTAGGGCATCAGTCTAATGAGGGGGGAGAATTTGAACTTGTATTATCCAGGCTTGGCATTTCCCCGATTAGTGAGTGGCTTTTAGGCGATCCCATGAACTCTAGTTAAGAAGGATATAGGAATGCGTATGGACATGCCGGTCGAATTTCAAAAAAATGATTATGATTTGTCAATGTACGAGTCAGCGTCGATGGAAGATTTTACCGCTTATTTTAGTCACTGCCACTGGATGGACGGACAATGACAAAACTGTTTTTTTTTTATCAAAATCTCAGTGATTTTTTGTCGATGACAAAAATTTACCATGACATGAAATTTGTGAATCCACAAGCACACTTACTGATATAAGTTTCTATGCCATTGACAATAAGGTACGACCTACCTTGGATGGTCTTTAATATCTTGTAATAGAGACAAAAATCGAGAGTAAAGGAAATTCAATACTGCGGAGAATATCGGTCTCCGCGCTGAGTAGTCCTGCGAGAATCGCTATGGCTACTTCTTTCCTGATGCAACAAACTCCTAAAATAGTTTGCCCTTCGTCTGTGAACGCGCACCAATTCATACGCTTGGGTCAGTTCTTTTCGAAGATGTTTGATTTCGGTCCACAGGTCGTCCGTTGGGTCGTCTGGCCGTCGCCTGTCGGATAGCTCGTGCTGCTTTTTATAGCGGTGTTCGCTCCGATGATGGTGCCCAGAGGCACCGGAGCCCTCATGCTGATATTCATGATCGTTAGGTAAATGTGACATCTATAACGTAGAAATTAAAATTCATGTGCGATTGATGTGTGTGTGTGTTATGCAGTGCGTTACACTAGTACCCAACCGATGCTTTGGTTGTAATGATGGACAGACGAACAATGATTGGTTAGTCACGTTTTACCCTGCGCAATATGTTGCTCATTCTAATGGGTTGTGTTATTTTTTTAAACACCTATTATAACTAGAAATCGGAGTTCAGAATTTACTGGATTAAATTCTGTAGAGGGTGAAGTGGCATAATGAGCATACGGGGTGATTTGAGCACCCCCATTATTTGAGAAAAATTACTGTACAGTACGGTAATGTATGATCTAACGTAAAATCAATTTACAAAACATGAGAATTCTCGTATTTTAAAGATAACCTAAACATTTAATAATTGTTATTAATATTGTGTTACATTTTTTTTTAAATTCAAAGACTTCGACTCCGGCTGAATTTGAGCGAAAATGTAAATTGCTGCCCATAGTATAAACAACTAGGGGCATTTACGTATTCTCGGCAACCTAAGCAGCGACCTTCTTTCTATAGTCTTTTTCTCAAAGGAACGCACAGATATGCAGTATTGGTTTGTTTACAATCTTTTGCTGCCAGCTGCTCTAACAATTTCAGTCGAAAGAATTGTCAAAAACTGTTTTGAAACGCTTTTACAAAGCTCCAATCTTCTCTAGTGAGAGCGAGTATTGTCGGCAACCAGTTTTTCTTCGGCAACCGTTCCATTTGAACTGCATGTAAATCTGCTGTTCTATTATCGGCAACTCGAAATCAGCTACGATTTGTAGTGCGTGTGTTGCATTTCAAGAAAACCTTGCTAGATTACTTTTTCTCAGTGGTAAAAATATAGTCAAATTGAAGCTGAAAGCATAAAGAATCGTTTGCATGCATTCAGCGAAGTGTTTTCGTAAGAAAACGCAGTGAAAATAGTGTTTCAATTTGTGTTGCCGAAAATAGTCTGTCATGCCGAAGCCGTCATTTCCCCTACGTAAAGTTTCATACGAATCGGAGAAGGTCAATTAAAAATTCATTTTTTTTTTTCGTTATTTTACCTGGAACAGCTCAGATTGTCTGCTCGATTTGAATGACTTTTCCCAAGATTCGACAGATAACCGATTTTTCCACATCCTTCTAGATTCAGCATCTTTAGGTACAACTTTGAAAAAACATATCAACTTGCCCCGGTGTACCTTACTGTATGCGCAGTAGAAGGACTGTGTGGATTTGAACAGATTTCAGACTTTGACTATATGTTTTAGTTTTACTTCTGCGTGAAGTCATCGATTTACATAGTTGAAGATGCTTATTTCAAATAACAGACTGTAATGGTAATATTTATACGATAGATGGAGTAGATGAAAGTATAGAGTTGATAGTTCCGTTCGAGTACGGCAGTGTGAAAATTGCATATAGGTAGTAGAATAGCGAGCTAGGACAACTTTGAAGAAAGGTACAACCGATTTGTACCTTCCTTAAAAGTTGTCCTAGCTCGCTATTCTACTATCTATATGCAATTTTCACACTGCCGTACTCTAACGGAACTATCAACTCTATACTTTCATCTACTCCATCTATCGTTTAAAAATTACCACTACAGTCTGTTATTTGAAATTAGCATCTTCAACTATACAGATTTCAGATTTCAACTGTTTGAAACAGGTTATTTCCATACATTGTTTCCACGGGCATCTTACATCAATAGACAATACACATTTAGGAAGCTAAGGGTAATACTATTACTATTTACAGGATCCAAGACAATATGAATATTTATATTATAGTATAATTTGAATTGCATCCAGGCTCGTAGGCAGAAATAGGACTGCAGTAGTCCGAACCCGATAGTCGATGCACGGCAAACCCCTGATTCTGATTTTTACGCAACATAACAATCGTCGCGTCGGAAGCACCCAAGCAGAATAAGCCACCCACAGATAAAGCAGAATCCATCGAAAACATACCTGAGCATTACTACTGGTCTTGTCCTTTTTCCGTCGTTTTTCCTTGTAGGAGCTACTGCTGGAACTGGATGTGCGCTTTCTTCGGCTATTGCTCTCCGGCGGTTGCTGTTGCTGTTGTTGTTGTTGCTGCTGCTGCTGCTGCTGTGATGACGATGACGACACCGGTATCGTTTGCTGCTGCAGCTTCGACAAACTAGCGGCCGACAGTTTGCTATCTTCCCCGTCCTGGTATTCCTGTTTGATAAGGTTTTCGTGCTTTATGTTGAGTGGTTTACTACTGTTGCTGCCACCAGCGCCAGCACCAAAGAGTATTGCTGAATTGTCTTCCTTGATTGGATAGTTATTACTATTGTTACTACTACTACTACTGGCTCCGTACTGGAGTTTTTCGCTTTTGGCGGGTAACTTTTCGTCATACGTGAGGTGCTGCTTGGCAGATGATGACTGTTTCTGCGCCGATCCCGATCCCGACCCCGAAGAGGACAGGGACGAAGCCGACGAGTTGTGATTGTTGTGATGGTGATGAGGTGGTAACGATGGGGACACAATGTCCCGGTAGTCCCGGGATCGTTCCCGAGATTGATGTTCGCTGGCGTTGCTGTTGCTTCGGTGGCGACCATTTTCCAGCAACAGTGGATCGCTGGCCACCTTCGCTGGGTCGATCCCTTCGGTCAGTCTATAGGAGCTGAGGCCAGACGAAGATTTGTCCTCGTAAGACCTTCGCTGCTGGGCACTCGTTTCGAAGCAGTGGCCGGCAATCGAGTTGCGCCGTTTCTTGTTGATTTCGTAGGGACTTTTGCTCTTGTGTCGAGCCGAGGCACTGCGCTGGGCACTGTAGCTTTCGTTTGCCTTGGCCAGCTGGTTTGGTTTGGCTGGCGGCGGCGGTGGTATTTTCAGCAGGCGACTCAAATCGATCCGGCAGATGAGGGAAATGTTGTTTAAGGCAGTATTGGCGGGTGATAAAAGCACTTTTTCCGCAATGGCGGCGGCGATGGCGACACCGGAGGAGGACGAAGATGACGCCGATGATGGGGTGGAACGGGCCTCGTTCGCCGCGACGACGTTGACCGTTGGAGCCAGCGGTGGTGTGATTGTACGGGAAACGTCCGACGACGGCTGCGGTACGCTCAGCAGATGACTCTTGGAGTTGGGAGTGGTGTTCACAGTGGTCTGTACGGAGGAAGCCTTCGAGTGGTGGACCTCTTCGACCACCACCTGGCGTTTGCTATTTTTGCTCTTGGAGCCACAGTTGATGGTGAACAGCTTCCGGAGGGTGTCCTTCTTCTTCTGATCGCTCTTGATTTTGTTGATTTTCTGCAATGAGGGAAAAATGGGAATCGTTAGCACTCTTTGGAATTGCCATAGGAATTTTGTATGGGTGATAGGGGAAAATTCAAGGGAGGAATTCGCGGGATTCTGACGAAACGTAAAAGCTTTTAAATAGAGAAAACACAACAGAAACTTTAAGAGCTTTGTCAAGAGGATGTTCAGATCAAACCCATTGGGATCCTACTAATTCTAGACTGTGTGGGCAAGTCTTGAAAATTAACGGATAACCTCTAGAGCAACTGCAGAAGACTTTCAGGTTAAATCTAAAGAACCTCAGCGTCATGTTCAGATCAAGTCCACAGAGTATCCCACGTAGAACTTCCAGGGCTTTTAAGACAGAGGGTTTGACATTCAGGTTCAGAAGTTCTGACCTTCTGGGATTTGTCACGAGACCCAAGTCCTAACGATCTTCAGTATTAGACTAAATAGCCTGCAGAGAACCTGGAAGTGCACGACGTAGACTGAATGAACGCGAAGGAACTCAAAATCAACTCCAGGGAACTCAAACGCCAAGTTCGGAGAACACCAAAGACAAAAGTATAGAGTCTAGGAGGCTCCAACGTCAAATTCAGATGCCGCCCACAAAGTCAAAAGCAGATGTATCATGGATCTAACCTTGGAGGTTCACCTGGCTTTACCCTCATGGTTTCTTCAAGGAATATCCCAGTGCTGTTATGGTAAATTTAGAGCTGATTACTTGCTAATTTTAAATTTGTGCGCCCTTGGCCAACTCAAATCTATGCGCTCCTTTGAAGGGTTGTAATTTAAGAATGTACACACAATTTAGTTCTCTCTAGTCGTCATGGAACCGACGTTTCAGTCTTTCTTCTTGGCCTTCTTCAGGGGATATAAACTTGAACCATCTTTCATTCAGCGCAATTTTTTTACGATCTGAAACTAAATCTAACCCTGATGAAGATCCGAACTCCTGGCTCGAAACGTTGGTGATGATAAAACTGTAATCAGCACTTTTCTTGAAAATTGAAAAATCCAATCAAAATTACTAATTTCAAGATTTTGAAACTTTTCCGAAAGTATATCATTCCGGTTTCCGATGCTTTACAGAAGTTGTTCTAACTGTCTTAAAGATCACTGAACTTCAATTAAGTCCTCTCGACACTTCCCTGAATTTCTTAGTAGTTTTTTAAAAGTACCCTCAATTTCCCTGAAGTAAATTGAACTGCCCTGAAATTATTGGATCTATCCTGAGGTTCCTATAATTTTCCTGAAGTTTTCTAAATCATAACCTTCAAGGTCATGGAACTTCCCTTAAAATCACTAAATATCCCTGAACATAAATGGCCTTGCCTAAAGTTTTTGTTCCTTCATGATAAAGTTCTCTAAATTTTAAATAAATTCTCGGAACTTCTCTAACGTTCCAAAAATTTGCCTGGAAGTTCCCTTGAGACCTCGCAATATTCCTGAAATTTTTGGAACATTTCTGAAATTCTCGGATCTCTCCATGGTTCCTCAAAACTTCTTGAAAGTTCCTGCAATTAATTAATGGAACTGCCCTGAAGTTCTCTGATCCTCCTTTAAGTATACTTGGAACATCCCTGAAAATAATGAAATTACCCAAATATTTCAACATTAGCCTGATGTTCTTTGGGTTTCCCTGAATTTCTCGGAACTGAAGAGACAAACCAAACTAAGGCTGAAAGACTCTCTAACGAAGAAAATAATAATTTCGGAAATATGCCGAAGTTTTCCAAAATTATCTGAGTTTCTATGGGCAATTTCCTTAAAGTAAATAGAACAATTTGAGGTCCTCTGATATTATCTGATGTACTCAAAACTATGCTGAAGCTCTCGCAATTCTCCTGTATTTCTTGGTACGGTCCTGAAAAGGAACTATAAAAATCTTTAAACTCCCCTGAAAACAACTAGACCTCTGCAAAGTTCTCAAAATATGCTTGAAGTTTTCTAAATTTTGAATAAATTCCCAGAACTTCTTAAAATTCCTCGATTTTTTTTTTCTGAAATTCATGGAGCTATCCTCTGCACATCTATAAATTTTCCCAAAAGTTTAGACTTTCCTTAAGCTATTGGGACTGCCTTGAGATCTCCGATCTTTTTAAAGATCACCAGACGTAGCTTCTCTGAGGTTATTGGGATTTCTTTAAAGTTTAAACACTTCTCAAGTTCTCTGGTCTAAAGTTTTCTCGACTTTCTTCAAATTCTCTGAATGTCCCTGAAGTTTTTAGACCTTTCAAAAGTTTCTGCAGTTTCCCTAACGCTCACTGAACCCCGTTGAAGTTTTGGAAACTTCTCTGAGGTGCCCCAATTTTTAAATAAGTTATCAGAACTTCTCTTATCATCCCGCAGTCTGTTCATGAAACTTCCCCGAAATGCTCGGTATTTTCTTTCATTCTTCGGAACATCTTTAATGTACCTAAAAAAATTCACCACTTCCCTGATTCCTCAGAACTTCTGTGACATTTCCAATTTTTTTATTAAGTTCTCTAAAGTTCCCTGATGCTCTCTGGACTGTCTTTAAAATTTTGAGCTTCTAGAAGGTTTTCACTATTTTCCTGAATTGCATAAAAATTTCAAAATTTAGCTGAACCACTTGGAACTTCCCTGAAGTTCCCGCATTTTTGCTGATTTTCCTGAAACTGCTCTGAAGCTCTCAGAACTGTCCCTACGATCACGTAACTTCCTTTAAGATCCTAAAACTCAACTGAAGTTTTGACAACTGCTTTGAAGTTCTTGTAATTTTCCTGAATTGCATGGAACTGTCATGAAGCTCTTTGATCATCACTAATGTTCTCGTTTTTTCTGAAATCTACGGAACCTATCATAAAGAATCTTAAAACTTTTCTGTAATTCTGGATGTTCTTGTATTTCTCAGAACATTCCTGTAGTTTTCGTAACTTCTTTGAAATTCTCGGGATTTCCATGAAGTTCTCGGAACTTCTTGAACATAATTTTTCTGATGTTAATAAAACTTCCAACATTTTCCTTCATAAAAGTTGTCTCCATTTTCCTAACAACTATACGAGTCCCAACTTCTTTGAGATTTTTTGGACTTTCCTCTTGGAACATCTGTAAAGTTCCTGCAACTTTTTGAAGTTAATCAAACGGCCCTGCAGTTATCAAAGTTTTGCAGAAATTTTCGGAACTTTGCGGAAGCTCCTACATTTTTTCGGATGTTCATGGAATTTATCTGAAATTTTTATAACTTTCCCGAACCTTTCCTAAGTATTCCTGAAGTTTTCTGGAGTTCCACAATGTTATTCTTAAGTTTCTAAAATGTTCTTGAAGATAATGGAACTGTCATGAGGGTCTCTGATAATCATCAAAGTTCTCGAAATTTCCTTTAATGTCATGAAACTGCACTGAAACTCTCGGAACTTACCCCTGAAGATCTTTAAACTTTTCCAAAGTTCTGTAATTTTTTGTAGTCCTAGGAACTTCTCTGAAGTTTTTGAAACTTTTCTGAATATTTAAGTGGTTTCCTAAAATTCTTGTCACAACCCTGAAGTTTAAGAAACTTCTTGAGGTTTTTTTTTTTAAATTGCTCTAATAAGCTCTGAACTTGCCTGATAAAATTCCTACAATTTTTATGGGTAAATTATAGATATTTTTTTTTAATTGGCAGATTTTTTCAAGCTTTGGTTTTATCATTAGGAATATAGCAATATGTCTTCACTACTATAGCGCCTATTTCTTCTCATATAAGCACACAGTGATGGGTGAGCGTTCAAAAATTGCCTTATGTATTTTGGTGCACAGCTTTTGTCTGAGAAGCGTCTGTAGATCAGTATTTAGCTTTGAAAAAAAGTAATAATCGATTTTCGGAGCTGATTACTTACGGAGTACCAACCGTGACATGCCAAGAATAACCCCAGAAGTTTTAGTACGCTGAACTTGCTTTCCGAAACCTCCCCGACTTATTTTGGAAACCTTCTATAGCCTTACTCGAAGCCCTCTAGTTGAAGACCTCTGAAGTCACTGGAACTACCTCAAGAAGGCTCTGGACTTCATCTGATTAACCATCAATGTTCGTATCCTATATCAAAATTAAAGGAATAATCCTAAAAGAACTAGTCTTTTGATGATGAACTAGCTCAGAAGTGGCTTATACCCACCCTAATAAAGAATTAAAACAGAAGCACAAGTCTGAGTTTCTAAGCTTCCCGAACTTATGTTAGTGTACCTTTCCGAAGACAATTAGAATTCTACTGACTCTAATGTAAGTCGTGCGGGCTAAGTATTGAGAAATATCGGAAAACATCTAGGATAATGTCAGAAGACTTTCAGGACAAACGTAGAGAAACAGTGAGTCATGTTCTGAACAAGTCCAACGCATGCTTTTCTATCTTATTAAGCTACCCAGAACACTTTCAGCTCCAGATCTTGTTCCGAACAAATTCAAAGCGTATCCATTGCAGAACCTTCTGGGTTTCCAACACAAGTCTATCAGAGGGTCAAGCGTTCGAATCCAGTTGAATCCAGGGGGCAATTTTTAGAGAAAAACAACAAAGACTCTACGCATAGGAATGCTAAATTCAGAGCAAACCGAAGATAGAAGCAGATAAATAAGGTACAAAACTCCTAGAAGTTCACCTAACACTGACCTCAAGGTTTCCCAAGACCTATCTTCAAGGAATAGCCCCATAAGGCCTAGTTTGCTGAATTTGCCTCCCGGACTCATGTTAAAAGCTTATATCGTACCTTTATTCGAAGCACTCAGATCTCTCTTCAAAGTTATATAAAACACTTGCGAAGGTACTACCTATTTCTTTCTCAAGAAGTCTTCATGAATTATTTTCCGGACCCATCGCCCTAAAGTCATCCAAACTTTCCTCAGACAAGACAACAAAGCAATCTCAATAGACATCCACAAAAACTCCTGATCCTTACCCTGAAGACCCCGTAACGCACCCTTGACATTCCGTAGATCAAAATATGAAGTCCTCTCTGCATCAAGAAACATCGTTTAGGAAGTCTCCCGGGTTGCAAGCCAGAATGCTCAATCCCAGACAATGGAATGCTGACTCTTTCGCAAAGGTGGATGCACAACAAGGCGAGTTTTATGATAGAAGAATTTCACATAATGAAGTTCTCCCATTAGTACGTCAGAGTTCTCTTCTAAGTTGGTAAAACGATTGGATAAGTAATTCTCTTGGGCGGTGGTTACATTCCATTACTCCAAATGTTTCTTCGAGAGCGTGATTCGAAGGTTTCCATGTAAGTCGGGGATTCATTCGCGTGATGTTAAGACTTATGTCCAACCACTACTCGCTAGACGCACATCTCTACAGAATAAACCTCGTTAATAGCAATATATGTAGAACCGGTTATGATAACATCGATCACGCAGTTTGGCATTTCCCGGGTAATGACGCCTCCAGAGAACGACTATTGGATACCCTAGTGACCCGAAGTAGACAACCCTTCCGTGAAGTAAGAGATGTATAGGGAATCCGTGAACTTCCCTACATGCTGGCGATCTTGTCTGATGTTAGAATTTGATGTGACCATCCCCTCCTTTCCACACATTTTCCAGCCATTATGTCCCAGTCTTATTATCCACCTGTTTCTGTGCTACTTGCCCCTGCCCAGCCAGCATTTGGTCAACCGTTCGAGAGTAATATCTGAAGAAAGCTTCCCATTAACCTCGAGCCCGCCACGAGTAATTGGTACCCAATACTAACCTAGATTTACTGCTGTTTAAAATGTCAATTAAAAAATTACGGATTTTTGACTCCGCAAAGTGTCACACACGACTGAGCCTAGTAAATAAACGAACTAGTTAAAAAAAGCCAGAATGTCGTGTATGTTTGAGAATCAATTTACAAAATTTGGCTGTCCTGAAATCAATGGCATAACGTTGAATGATATTGTTTGACTCCTACTTAGAATAGGGTGTCTGCTGGTACTGCTCAGAACGTTCTTCACCTTTATTTGTATTTCATTTTATGAGAACTTCGTTTAAACTTAGTACCTATGATTGAACCCAACTGGAAACTCCTCAGAAACTCAGCAGAAAGCTTCTAGACAATGACACGAGGGACGGAACATTTAATCTTCTAATAAGAGGAGCAATTTCCAGCATATCGTAACAATCCCAATAACAACAACGGACGAACGGACGAACTTCGACCGGATTTCACGACAAACTAACTCTTACCTTCTCTTTCTTGACAGCTCCGTCGCTAGCACTACCGGAATAGCTATCCGACCTAGCTCCCACATTATCGTCATCGTCGTCGTCATCGTCATCGTCGTCGTCGATGGAAGCCGAAGTGGACGTGGATGTCTTCCTCGGTACCACCTTCGAAATGGAAGATGGTTGGAATTGCGGCGATATGATGGTAGCCCTTCTCGGTGGGGACATTAATCTGCTACAAAGAAACCAAAAGTGTGTTAGTACCGAATTCCCACTTGATACCCACAAGCGTTACTCACTCAGCATTGCTATCAGAAGACAGTTCGTCAACTCCTGTCGGTTTCTGCGGTAGCACCATGTTGACCACGGACTTTGACGGACTGGATTTGGAACTTTCGGGGGCATCTTCTTTCCGGTCTCGCTTCGGTTGTTCCGCGTCCGAATCGTCCGTCGTCGAAAGCACTTCCCGGCTGGTAATTTTCTGATTGGCCCTGGAAGGTCGCTTCCGGGACGTTGTAGTCTTTTTGGCAGGCGTACTAGAAGCATCCTTTTTGCTAGGTGTGGAAGCAACCGTTTTGGTAGAGGAAATCGATAATCTCCTTTTGCTATTGTTACTAGTTACGGAGTCGGCGTCCGATTGCCGAGCACTGGACGAGCCCACAATTGAGGAACCACCCGTCGTGGGGGGATTCTTCCTTGGTCGACCCCGTGTCTTACCGATTTTGTCCTTCTCGAAAGATTGAGATCTGCTCCTTTGAGAGCTGCCGAAACCATCGTCGTCACTACTGCTGGATTGATGGTCTCGTTCCCGATCCTGGAAGGTTTTGTTAACTTTCCGCTTTCGTTTAACTTTCTGTGGTACTCTCGGGACGCCTCCACTTCCCGCGCTGAGCAACCCAAGCGTGCTCTGCTGAACATTATTGTCGTCAATATCGGAAATTCCCGATAAAGGTTGTATATTTTGAAGCTCTTTCACCTTCAGCAGCGCACTGCTCACCTCGTTTTCATCTATACTATCCACTTGGTCGTTTGAGTCCTTCTCGGAACTTTTCTCCGGGCTCTTCGCCGGACTGGATAGGTCCAGATCGTTCTTAATATCACCCAGTTTATTGAAATCTTGCAACCCTCCGCCATTCAAGCCAGGCAGCGCCGAGCTAGGCGTCGCCGTTGGGATTCCTCCGGCACTCGGCGAAGACGTACTGTTCTCACTCGGATACGGTTCCTGCTTGACAAATACCCCTTCGTTATTACTGCTACTGTTCGACAAATGATCATCCTCAATTGGCGGTGGTTCATTCTTGATCGTCGGAGGCGAACCAGGCATTAGCGGTGAACTCGAATTGTCGTCGTGCTCATTCAAACTTTGGTTACACCCCATCAAATCGGGATTGTTCAATCCACCCACTGATTGCGAGTTCGCACTACCCGTCTCGCTTGGCACCTGTGGCTGTAGGAAATTCACCAAAGACCAATCCCTGTTCCCAGTGGCAGTAGCATTGCTCGCCACACCACCAATTCCCGCTGATCCTCCTCCGCCCCCAGCTCCCCCTCCTCCGGGTCCTCCGCCCGGACCTGCTCCATTGTTACCGGCGATAGCAACACCGCCGGTTGTTGCCACCGGTGACTTATTGCCCACATTCGAATCCTCACTGGACGATTCGTCCGCACTGTCATTCGATGAGGTATCACTGGAGTTGCGTTTCTTCTTGTAGCCACCGCCTTCGTCGCTGTCCGATCCGTTCGGTTCGTCCTCGAGGGCACTGCAATGGGGGGAAGGAGAGCACGGTTAGTAATTCGTTTCAGTGTTTGGAATATGCCACGGGCAGGGTAAACTTACCTTATCGGTTTCACCATCGGAGGTATTGCGCTTACTGTGACAGCGGGTTCCGAATAATAGGCGCGATGGTGGCGTAGAATGAATGGAATGGAAAGAAATAGAGGACAATCGATTAGAACACGATATCATCAATAATTCATCAAAAGACAAACAAAAGAATTCCATGGACGCCTAGGTAAAGGGTGATACGGTCAAAATTTGGTCAATATCAACTTGACGTATTTCTTTCAATTTTGCATTTAAAAAACCTGAACACCCCTCATTTTGAAGGTGTGTGTGTGTAGAATGTTGCTCCTATTTTGATTTTGGAATTTACTCTTCAGTTGTCAAAATGCCGTCCAAGCAAGAAGAGCAGCGTATCAAAATTTTGCTCGCGCATCGCGAAAATCCGAGCTACTCGCACGCAAAGTTGGCAAAATCGCTAAAAGTTGCCAAATCAACCGTTACAAATGTAATTAAAGTGTTTGGGGAACGTTTGTCGACAGCCAGGAAGTCTGGATCGGGGGGAAATCGAAAACCGGAAGCCGCTGAGACGACAAAGAGAGTTGCCGGTAGTTTCAAGCGAAACCCTAACCTCTCTCTCCGAGATGCCGCAAATAAGCTGGGTGTATCGTCTACAACCGTGCATCGAGCCAAAAAACGAGCCGGACTATCGACTTACAAGAGGTAGTGACTCCAAATCGCGATGATAAACAAAATACGACGGCCAAAGCGCGATCCCGGAGGCTGTACACGACGATGCTGACGAAGTTTGACTGCGTTGTAATGGACGACCAAACCTACGTCAAAGCCGACTATAAGCAGCTTCCGGGACAGGAGTTTTATACAGCAAAAGGAAGGGGAAAGGTAGCAGATGTTTTCAAGCACATGAAACTGTCAAAGTTCGCACAGAAATATCTGGTTTGGCAAGCCATCTGTACCTGTGGCTTGAAAAGCAGCATTTTCATAGCTTCCGGGACTGTCAACCAAGAAATTTACGTGAAAGAGTGTTTGAATAAACGTCTGCTGCCTTTCCTGAAGAAACACGGTTGTTCCGTACTGTTTTGGCCGGATTTGGCATCTTGCCATTACGGTAAAAAGGCCATGGAGTGGTACGCCGCCAACAACGTGCAGGTGGTTCCCAAGGACAAGAACCCTCCCAACACGCCAGAGCTTTGCCCAATTGAGAAATACTGGGCTATTGTCAAGCGGAACCTAAAGAAGACCAAAAAAACTGCTAAGGGCGAGCAGCAGTTCAAGGCAAACTGGCTTTCTGCGGCGAAGAAGGTGGACAAGGTGGCTGTACAAAATCTGATGGCAGGGGTCAAGCGTAAGGCCCGGCAATTCGGATTTGGAATAGCGGAAGCCTAACTGAATATTTTTCCTGAATTTTATACTAATTGAACTTGAAAAAGAAATTTAATTTGATTTTTTAAATAAACGATTTCACCGATTTACACGCGTTTTCCCTTGACCAAATTTTGACCGTATCACCCTTTACATCACAAATTGAAGGTGGCAGCGGAATAAGCCATATGTGCGGTATGGCTTTCTACAATATAATTAAAAGGCAATTAACCCTTCATCTGTGCCAAAAAAAAAACTTACGTTGCCTAGTACCTTGGGGTCAATTTGACCCCCAAATTCGAAGGTTCAACGGATTTTTGAATTTTCAAATGTTTTGTAAAGTAAATTTAATGTACTTTTATTTTAGATTATTTTGATGTTTGAGATAACGAGATCCCAACCAAATAGGATGCTGCTTCCTTCTGCAAATATATTCAGGAGTACAAGGTCTTCAAAACTATGGATAGTGTATGACAGAATATACTTACTAGATGGCGCTAAACCGAAAATGATCAAGCTGTGCCATCTTATATGCACATTCTATGCACATTCTATCTACAGATCTTGCCCATATAAATGGTTCTCGTCTTCAGCAAAGTTGTTCAGATGGACAAGACCTATATCATGGTAAAGAGTTCAGCTCAGAATTAAATCCCTAGGGGGCGCTAATGTGACATTCAATTTTCGTTGATTGCCCTAACTTAACATATGAACTAGATAGAAGGTTCCGTCTTGGGCAAAGTTGTTCAGATGAGATATCTTCTAAATTAGAGTTCCTTTGCAATTATGTTCAGAATCAATCTCAGATTTTTTTTTAATTTCTAAAAAACTCCTATCAGAACATCTTCTTGTAATGATCATTTGAATTCCTTTGGAAATACCCTTTTTGGAGTAAATAATAAAAACGATCTAGCCATTTTTGGAAACAATGACTTCAAATATAAATTTGAAAACTTTACACTATTTGATAGCGGTGTTAAAGTCTGGAACGCGCAAAAATTGGTCAACTTCAAATTGGTGTATTTCTGTTAAAAATGCATAAAAAACCTGAAATGCTGCATTTGGAAGTAGAGTGTATATCCGAGCATAATCCTTTGCAAATTTGATAACAAGTTCTGATACCCGGTTAGCAAGATTTTATATCTGAACATGTTATCTTTGTGTCTGAATAAACAGCCAAAATAACAAAAACTATAACAAAAGAATACTTCTGGGATATCACAAAAATAACTGATTTAGTTATCAATGAAAACATCTTGATAATAAATCCTGTCATCCATGCGAATTTTTTCAACAAAATTCCAAATTATATTACCGATTTCATTTGGTATTAAAGTTTTACGCTGATAACTGAAATATGATTGGCAGTGTTTTTTTCTCTCACCATGTGGATAATATTTGAAATTTTGAACATGATAACATAATTAGTCGAGGTTGATAACTAAATAAGCTATGCGATAACAACTGAAAACAAAATGATATCTGGAATAACAAGACTTGTTTTCATGGTGATATCAGGTTGTTATTTTACTTTGCTCGAGTATACAATGGTTGCTATGATGAGTTTTCACCGTTTGCAGTTTTCAAAATGACGGCCAAGCAAGAGGAGCAGCATGTCAAAATTTTGCTCGCGCAGCAAGAGAATCCGACGTTCTCACACGCCAATTTGGCAAAATTGCTGGATGTGGCCAAATAGACCGTGACAAACGTTTTAAAAGTATTCGGGGAGCGTCTGTCGACCGTCAGGAAGCCTGGAAGCGGCGGCAATCGTAATCTGGACGTGGCAGCGACGACGAAGAACGTGGCGGTGAAATATAAGCGGAATCCTAACCTCTCCACCCGGGACGTCGCTGGCAAGCTCAATATCTCACATACTACTGTGCAGCGGGCCAAGAAACGGGCCGAGTTGTCGACGTTTAAGATGGTGAAGGTGGCGAAACGAAATTACAAACAAAACACGTCGGCAAAGCAGCGGTCCTGAAAGCTGTATACGAATCTACTCACAAAGTTCGACTGTGTCGTCATGGACGATGAAACTTATGTGAAGGCGGATTTCAAGCAGCTTTCGAGACAGGAGTTTTATACCGCATCCGGAAAAGGGAAGGTGACTGAAATTTACAAAACCCTCAAACTATCTAAGTTCGCGAAAAAAAATCTTGCCTGATAGGCCATATGCACATGTGGTCTAAAAAATGGCATTTTCATTATTACGGGAACCATCAATCAAGAGATCTACGTTCAGGAGTGCCTGGAAAAGCGGCTGCTACCATTCCTAAAGCAACATAATAAACCTGCGCTGTTCTGGCCGGACTTAGCGAGCTGCCACTATGGGAAAAAGGCAATCGAGTGGTACGATGCGAACAACGTGGTTGTGGTACCCAAAGACCACAACACTCCCAACAGCCCAGAACTCCGTCGTATCGAACGGTATTGGGCCTTGGTCAAACGGAATCTCAAAAAAACTAATAAATCCATGGAAAACCAGCAGCAGTTAAAATCTAACTGGCGTTCGGTGACGAATAAGGTCCATGAGACCACTGTGCAAAATTTAATGGAAGGGGTTAAGCGGAAGGCACGGCAGTTCGGATTTGGCAAACCAAAAGAATAAACGAACATTTTTTCCTTTAAAAAGGGGAAAAGAAGGCTTCGGCAATACCTTATTCTATTATCGTCAGGGTGGTACAACATCCTTGAGAGCTTAATTTTGGCATGTGGATACATTGTGTTTCAGAGCATCTATTGGCCAAATATGAGTGCTCTACGAGTTTGTTCACCCCCTGACGATAATACGTTAAGGTATTGCCGATGCCAACATTTCCCCTATATGAATTGAACTACCAAAAGAAAAATAAGAAGATTTTTGTGATATTAATTTTGACTGAAAGAAACGATTTTTTGTCGACCAATTTTTGCACGTTCCAGTCTTTACTTTGAATAGTTGAGCTAGCAGTTTCGACAAAATTGACTTTTTAAATCATAGTGTACAAAAACCAATTTGACTATTTGACTAGAGCTTTGAACCAGTGTTTTCAGTTCTACGGGTCTATTTAGTAAATTCTCCTGGAATGCTCTTTACAATCTCCACACCCAACCGGAAAATGAAAGATTCTATTACAGATTTTCATAAAAAGTATACCGAGTTTCAAATATTTCATCTAATGAACAGATTCTAGATTCTGTAGAGTGGTCGTCGGAAGGATTTTTAAAATATTGTTTGTAATTTTGATTGCAGTAGCTGAATTTTAGAACAAAGCTTGTTTTTCAAAATGTACTACGGCTAGAAAATAATCTTGTGACGGTTGTATACAAAAATATTAATTCTGAAACAACGCTACGCTACGTTGTATGCTACAGTCTAGTCCATTGTAAGAATTGACATAACATTTGTTGTAATAAAACATGCATAAAATTTCAAAAATCTCCCGTAAACCCAGATCATAACCAAATTTGTTCAAATTTGTTCAAATTTGACACCACAGCGGCACCGGTTGTGTAGTGGTAAGCGCGACTGCCTCTCACTCCAAAGGACCTGGATTTAATTCCAGTCGATCAAGGCCTACACTCTCGCTATTCGTATAACAATCCCATGTGAATGGGAAATCCACATGGGACTGTTATGCGAATAGCGGTAAATATTCGGTAAACCGGTTTGACCCTAAAGAAAACCCCCAAATACTCACATGGCGCTTTGAAGGAAGGTGGCTTCATCATCACCGGGTTCGGTGCGTACTTGAATTTGTTGGGGTTGTTCAGGTTGTAAGGCTCCAGTTCCTTCCGGGGCGTTGCCCCGATCTCCGTCAGTGGCGTCCCTATGGCGAACAGCTTCACTTCGCTCAAAATTTGCTCCACATTGCCGGACGTTTTCGACGGCGTCGACGGTTCGTTCTACGGAAAAAAAATCAAGATACACGTTGTTAGTCAGATGATTCGGTTCGAACCGACCAAATTGGACAAATTAAAACTTGGCATTCCAAAACAAGATCCACTAATTGACATGCTTTTTGTTTATCTTTTTTTTTTCGTTCAAGACACAAATCACAATTGGAAGCAAACTAAATTATATTTAGATAGATAAGAAGGCGGCATTTTCTAGTAGCAAGCTCTCTCTAAATTGGGATGCAAAGTTCTGTCAAAGATGGACAGGAAGCGATTTAAAAAAAGGTGTGTGTGTGCATAGCAAATAAAATAAAACAAAACTAACTACTCTAGGAGGCATTTTTGCGTTTGACACCTGAGGAGGCAGACGTCCGTTTAGCAGTTGCTGCGAGGGTAACTTGTCACCGATCGTTCCGGGACCGGTCGTGCGGCCATTCATCAGCGAGGCTGACCCCGAGGAAAGTCCCTTCGAGTGCACCTAAAACAAATGAGAAACGAAAAGATACGATATTAAAACGGGGTAAAACCAAAAAAAGGTCAAATTAGTCCAAGGAAAACGTAAGCTCTGGTGGTGCGAAAACATTAACCTAACAGTGGTGGAAAAAATCATACCTCTCCAAGAGGTGGTACATAAAATTTCTAAAATGGTTTCGATTACGACGGACTTTGCTCAACTCCCCTTCGACCGGATGAAACGAGATTTTTTTTCCGCTCTTGCCAACGACCTTGGCAAGTGCTGCGATCGTGCTGTTGATTGAATTATACCACTTTGAGAATTTTCCACTCACGTTTCCTCGCAATCTTGACCGACCGAGGAGAGGAGGGTTAATCACATCTTTATGTTCTGCGCTGTTTTCAGTTTTGTTTCCCATGCACACTAATTCGGAGAAAAGGAAATGGTACATGCATAATCACAGTGTTTTTTTGTTTTTGTCTTGCTCATTAATGCGAAATCAGTTATCATAGTCTTACAACTTGGATGAGGGTTGAAAATCATCGCCAGAAAATAAGAAATCACGGGAAGTGACAGCACTTAATTGGACTCAAACTATTTGGAAAGTTCTTGCAGGAGACCTGGCTCAAATTTTCCATCAGATGAAAATTCAGTTCACTTGTGAATCAAGAAGTAAGGAGTAAGGATTTATAAGGGGATTATTTTTTAATTAAAGGGTGACAAATTTGGTCGACTTAAAAATTAAGCATTTCCTCTAATCGAGCATTTAAAAATCCTGAACACCCCTCATTTTGGCGTGCAAACTGATGCCTCTATTTTGATTTTGACATTTCTCGCGTCACTTTTCAAATAGACCAATGTAACGTATCCACCATTTTGAGAAAATCGAGGTTGAAGTTCGACAGATTATTATTTAAACTGTTTAGAAACAATACATTTTGCAATACTATTTTTAATGTAGTCAGTGAATAATAACGTTGAAAATTTAGTATAAACGGTAAAATCACAATTTTACTTTGAATTTCATGCTACAATATAGATAAAAAAAACACATACGACGTTTTGACAAGTCATGGTGTAAATCGGACATGTTACATTGGACGATTTTTCTCAATGACATAATCAATGAGTGTTACATTGGTCTTTTTGTTCTACATGATACTAGATTCCCTTTCACAGATTTCAGAGTAGAGTACCTAACTTTAGATTCACCCCGCTTTTAGAAAATGAGCACCAATCATGTTAGGCAGTCCGAATGACCGAAGTAACAATCATGTACCCATCATTTCAAACTGTACATTGGACAATGTTTGACCTATGATTATCTTAAATAAATGAAAGTAAATTTGGATGGGTGTTTTTGTATCACATACAATGATAGTATAGCAATGGTTCGTATCACTTAGCTCGATTTGTGGAGGCGAACCAGCCCAAGGCTGAAAGCCTCCCTAATAAAGTTAAATAATAATAATAGCTCGATTTGTTTACATTTGTTACTTAGGACCTTTTAAAAAGTGACGCGAGTTTGCTCTTCAGTTGTCAGTTGTGCAGTTCAGTGTTCAGCGACATTTTCATTGCAACCGTGACCGTCAACCAGGAAAAACACGAATGTACCGTGCTGTTTTGGTCGGATTTGGCATCCTGCCATCACGGAAAAAAGGCTATGGTGTGCCACCAAAAACGTGCAGGTGGTGCCCAAGAACAAGAACCCTCCCAACGCACCAGAGCTCCGCCCAATCAAGAAATATTGGGCCATCGTCAAGCGGAACCTGAAGAAGACCCAAAAACTGTTGGAAGCGAGAAGCAATTAAAGACAAACTGGCGTTCTGCGGCGAACAAAGTGGACGAGGCGGCTGTACAGAATCTGGTGGCAGGAGTTAAACGAAAGGCCCGGCAATTCAGATTCGATCAACCGGAAGCTTAGCTTGTATTTTATACTAATTGAACTTAAAAAGAAAAATAATTTGATTTAAAAAAAAATCAATTTACATGCATTCTTGTTTGATCAAATTTTGACCGTTACACCCTTTATCTGACAGGTTTGGGCCGAAGGTTCTCAGAATGCTATGAATTTCGCCCACTACAGAGCTTTCCCGATTTTGGCATAACAAACGAAATACTGAGAAAATCAGGGAAAAAATTTCCCATTATTTTTTTCGATAAAAATTATTACAGAATGATGGAATTGTTAAATTATAACTGATAGGGGAAATGGCTCTAATATTGACCTATGGATCTAGAATGGGTCCACCGCTAGAAATTTGCTATTTATCAATTTTATCTAGATGAACGCGTCATTGGGACGGTACTAATAGATATTTTTGGTCGCTATTGAAAATTTAGTCGATTGCTGAATTTAAGTATGGGTCCAAATTAGGGGCATTTAGGCCGATAATAAATCCATTTCCCATATTTGTTTAAGCTCTTAAATCATCAAATAACTACAATTATTGAATAAATTGTCCCTTTATGATAAAGAAAAATGTATCAACTATCAAAGCAGAGCAAATTTGTGCCGAACGCCAGGCCGCGAATAAAGCGGGCACCTAGTGCCTCCTCACTCCTTACTCTCTTGTCTAGCCTTGCGATCACGGTGAAGCGACTTGGTCATCGACTCCTTACTTACCTTACCAATCAGGCTAAGCCCCTGCTGACCGAAGAAGTCGTCTCCACTCTACTCGATCCATGGTCACACTTCGCCAGCCTCGTAGTCCGCAGGTCTACTTGGTCAATCCACTTTGCCCGCTGCGCGCCTCTTCTTCTTGTTCTTATTGGGTCGCTTTCGAGAACCAATTTCACTGGGTCGTCGTTCGGCATTCTTACGACATGCCCAGCCCACCGTAGTCGTCCAATTTGTTCAATGTGGACTACCTGTGGATGTGAAGCCTACCTCGACCACCACGATTACGTTACCGTCAATCTGAACTTGGGGTGGGAGGCTAACATTGTCTTCCCTAGAACCTCTTCCTCTCATGTATTTCATCTTCGATGCGTTGATGGCAAGGTCATGTCATCGGCGAAGCCAAGAAGCTTCATGGACTTCCTGAAGATCGTACCACTCGTGTCTATCCCTGCTCTTCTGATCACACCTTCTAACGCGGTGTTGAATAGCAGGCACGAAAGTCCATCACCTTGCTGGAACTCGAGAGTATCCCCGATACTCGAACTACGCACATCACTCGATCCATCCTCACCTTGACCAATCGCGTCAGTTTATCCGGAAATCCGTACTCGTGCATAATCTGCCATAGCTGATCTCGATCGATTATGTCGTATGCGGATTTGAAATCGATGAACAAATGATGTGTGGGCTAGTTGCATTCACGGCATTTCTGCAGAACGTACCGAATCGCGAAAATTTGGTGCGTGGTAGCGCGAGCACCCATGAATACCGCCTGATATTGCTTTACGAAGTCTCTTGCAAATGGTGACAGGTGGCGGCATAGAATTTGTGAGAGTACCTTGTAGGCGGCGCTTAGCAGTGCGATCGCGCGGTAGTTGCAGCAATCCAACTGGCCGCCCTTTTTGTAGATTGGGCATACGACGCCTCTGGCAATATACGCTCCTTCCAAATCTTGGCAATAACCCAGTGCAGCGCTCTAGCCAGTGCAGCAGTGCTTTGCCACCGTATTTTAATAACTCACTTGGTAGTTGATCTACACCGACCGACCTCCTCCTCAACTTCTTGAAGATCAGGAGCCGGAAGCCTGTCGTCTTCTGCGCGTGCTCCAAGGTCTGTTGCCGTGCCACCTTCGTTTTCTGCTACATCACCGTTGAGGTGATTGTCATAGTACTGTTTCCACCTCTCAATCACTTCACACTCGCTCGTGAGAAGGTTACCGTCCAAGTTCTTGCACATATCGGCTTGCGGTACGTAGTCTTTGCGCGAACTATTTAGCTTCTCGTAGCACTTCCGTGTGTCGTTTACGCGGTACAGATTTTCTATCGCCTCGCGATTTCCTTCGGAAAACTGAGATTTGTCTGTTCCGCGCTTGACTGTATCTCTCCACATTCAATCTTGTGCGGTATTGCAGCATTCTCGCCCCTACTGCATTCTTCTCCTCTACTAACAGTGTACATTCGCCGTCAAACCAGTCATTTCTTCGGTCCGGGATAGCAGTACTTAGTGCCGCTGCAGCAGTACTACCTATGGCTATATCTTCAAGAGTAGCTGCGCCAAGCTTCTCTTCTGTGGGTAGTGCAGCTTCTAGCTGCTGGGCGTAATCCTGAGCAACTCCGGCGACCCGTAATTGCTCAATGTTGGGTCGCGACATTCGACTTTGATGGCCATCGACTATACTCTCACCAATTTTCGTACTCATATTTCTCTCCGCTTATAGAATTCGCTGTCCTCCGCCAGGGTGATGCCCATAGGGATCATTCCGCATACTGCCTCTAACTAGATGGTGCTGTACGCACTCACGACTCGCATGGCCATGAGTCGGTGCGTACTTGTTCAGTTTCCTTAGATTCTGCTTGGTTTCCAGTGCTCCAACCCAGGCTGGACCTCTATAGCTCAGTATCGACGTAAATACACAAGCCAGGAGACGTTTCATTCAACTGCTTTGTCCAGAGTTGTTCGGCATAATTCTGGCTATCACATTGATGGCTTATGCTGAATTCTGCCCACTGCTTCGCTCGTTGCACCCAATTTTCTATCGTATCGATCGAGGCGCCAACATTTTCACCTCTACCATTAAGACGATGTCGTTCACAAAGCCAACGGTCTCGGCTCCTTTTGGCAACTTCAGCGTCAGCACGTCGTTGTACATCCCGTTCTAGAGCACTGTGATCCTAATAGATCTCTGCCCGATGTTTGTCGCATAGACCAACACCCGGTTTTGGACTTAATTCCTTATAATCCTGAAGGCACCCTCATTATATGCAGAGATTCGGCAATGGTCACCAACTGACGCTGTTGAAAGCGTTTTTGGCGTCTATCGTTATCACGGAGTAAAGGGTGATACGGTCAAAATTTGGTCAATATCAACTTGACGTATTTCTTTCAATTTTGCATTTAAAAA